ATTGTGGGGTAGGGCGCGGTTTACATTAAATCAGAACCCTGTAAAGAACTTGGAAGTAATTGGGGTGTTTAATTTTATTTCTATATTGTTTATTTTCTTGCCACTTCCTTCAGAACTCTGGGATGGATCCCATTTTGCCCTGGAGTGGTTCCCACACTGGCAGTGGGTTTGCCTAGCACACTGCGTCATGCAGAACAGACAAGGCTCCTAGAATTTGTGTTCTCTTGCTTTGCTAGATTTTCAGGAATGATAATGAGGGTGAGAGCACCATAGATTTCCTATGGCCATAGTTCTTATAGATTAAATACAATTTCCTGGTGACAGTTTATTTACTTTTTGTCTTCAAACTTTTATTTTACTATGCTTTTGTATTTATTATCAAATCTCTTTTTCTAATTTTTTTCTGATCCCATTTTTTACATTACTCTCTCCCCTGCCTTAGCCTTTATCTCACTTTAATTCAGCCATATCCAATTTTTTACTTTAGTGTAATATCTTTGGCCTCAATATATCTAAAACTAGTAAGGAAATATGCAACCTCATTTCCTCCATTAGCATTTCATTCTGAGTTTTCAGAAACTCTAAGTGATAAATGAAGCTTTATTTTAGTTTCTCTTTTCTATTGTCCTTGTATCTTTTTCTCTAGTAAGTTTTTAACTAGCTAGTATTTTAACTATTAAAATAGCATAATAGTTCATACTCCCTTTACCAATCTATCACATCTCACCTTGGTTTATTTTTTACATTGTTCCTAGTAAGAGCATATTTCCCTTTTCTGTTTCAGAGATCATAATTCTATTGAGACTCATCCAGAAACTAAATAAAATATTGACTACATTCAGTTGCCTGAGCCACCTGAAAATAAATATTTTGCATGCAAGGATCCGAACTAAAGTTTAGAGGGATTCTTTGCTATGAACATCGGAAAAAGTGGTAGACATTGCTATAATTCAGAAATATATCATGGAATATTTACCACCTTTATTCAATGTTAGCCTTTTGAAGTTCAAGTTTCTTATATATGAGAAAATATACATTGTAGTAATGAGTTTAGTCAGTAACATCTTTAAAAGTTCAAAAAATCTCAGTTTTTGTGCATGTAGAAATTTTTGAAACAGTGTATCTTTGGCTATGTGTATTTTCACCAAAAAAAAAAAAAAAAAAGGTTGAGAAGTTAGAGGGTTAATATGTTGTGGGGTTGTTAACCAATGTCATAAAACAACATGTGTACTACTGTTTCATGAGAAACTGTTTGTTCTGTAAGCCTTCACCCGAACTACAATAAAATACTAAAAAAAAAAAACTCAGTTTTGCTGACTTCAATTGCTTAAAATTTTTAAGAAAAGATGATTCTAAATTAAAAATTTTTCATTGCATTTTTTTATTTTTTCAAATTGTTTTATAAGAGGAATCAATGCTTCCACTTTTAGTACTAAATATAACAAAATGCATTGGGGAAATATACATTTCTTTCTTTAAGATGTTAATATCTAACAGATCCTGGAATCCAACACAAAAATATTTTCCATTGTCTTTGCATTAAGAATAAACTTAGTTTTGGACTAATGAAATATTAGCCAATTTTTTCTTCTTTTTTATCTTTCTCAAATACCATTCAACTAGTCCTTGAACATCTTGAACATATATATATATCCCATACATGAGAAGCTTAGATTGATTAACATGAAAATAAAATTCTCCCAATTTATTCAAGAAGAAATTTTAGGAATCATTTTACAACGACTTCCAACTGTTTCAGATGGGTTTATCTTAATGGATTTAGTTGAATAACTTACTGGAAGTATATATGAAAAGTATAATGTGTAAAGCTCATATTTCAGCATTCATTCCATAAGTTTGGCATTTCCAAAGTAATACTTGGAACAGTTTATGATGTCAAGTATGTTAAGTTCTAGTACCGCAAAGTAAATTCATTTGTTGAATGATTTGTTTAAAGGCTTCTAAAATACAATGTTCAAAGCTCCCTTGCTTTCTTATTTGCAAATTAGCAGAACTTCAAGTTCCTGCGGTGTAGGGTCCACTCGGATAATATTTGAGAACAGAAAGAAAAATAAAAGTTATCTTCTTCTAATATTTATTTTCTGAGATGTTCAACAAATGGAGTAATCTTCATTAGGTAAGGTAACTTAAACATTGAAAAGAAAGTTTGAATTTCTAAGAAAAGTATTAAGTATTTTAATTAACTATACTAATCCTAAATCCTTTGAAAAATAAATGATCATTTTCAGAAAGTTGTGTCAGGTTGCTTTAATAGAAAATAGCCTTAACTTGCTGCACCCATTATAGGTAAACTGCTTCAAAATGTCAGGAAACTGCTTGCCTTTTTTTTTTTTGCAAGTATTAAGAGGTCCCCTTTTTGAATTTTTTTCTTGGAATGCTGGAGACCCGAAATTTTCTTTCAAAATATATTAACAGATTTACTTGGTGTGAAGAATAGGAGGTGCAGTGTATTGCTTAGTACAATCAGTAATACTTCCTTCAGTAATAATAAGAACAAAAATAATAGTAAGCAGAGCTATGTTTCTAACCCCAAAGAAGCTGAAGACCTTAGTTTAGATACTTAAGACATTCCTTTACGCTTGCCAATAACCCAAGGAATCTTTCCCAGATAAATTCACGCACACCGGTTATCAAACCTAAACAGCACAGAAGCTAGATGGTACCAGTTATTTACCAAGCAACACAGAAGTTTATCATTCTTTTACTACCTTTTCTTTCACCCCTCCACCCATTAGATTTTTTGTGTGTGTGTGTGGTAAACTGTACATATATATGTATAATAAGACATTTGTCATTTTAATCATTTTTAAGTGTATAATTCAGTGAACATTAATTACAGTTACCATGTTGTGCTACCATCACCACTAACAATTTCCAAAAGTTTTTTCATCACGCCAAGCAGAAACTCAGTACCCCTTCAGCAGTAACTCCCAATTCTCCTTTCTAGTCCCTGGTAACTGCTAATAAACTTTTATCTCTGTGCATTTGCCTATAAGTGGGAATCACAATATTTATCCTTTTGTGTCTGAGTTATTTCACTCAGCACGTTTTCAAGGTTCATCTGTGTCGTAGCATGTCCAGAACTTCATCCCATAAATTCTTAAGGCTTTCTTAACTTCAGAAGCAGTCATTTCTAGTTTATGTCAAAATCAGGACTTTGGAAACTGGGATATTTTTCTTTACCACTTTCAGTAACTATCTTCGTTTTTAGGCTAAAATTACAGAGTACTTCTTTTTGGTTCTTTCTAATGCCTAATAAAAAAAAAATTTTATATTGAGAATTTTTAGTACTGATTTTTTAAAGGATGTCCATCATTCCAATTAATATAATCATGTATTTCGTTACGATTAGCATATCAAATTGCCAAATTTGTCTGTTCTTTTAATATACCTCTTGTCTGATTTTGGTGATAAAAGTTTAATACGAGAATAATCTCATAAAACTTTCTTTTCAATCTTGTATTATCCTGAATGATTGACTGGCTTTAAAATGTTGCCTTTCTTTCTAGTCCACAGTTAAATCCATTGAGTGTTCTAATTGCAAATATAAAGAAAAACCTTGTCTATCACTTTTAAAAACAAATCGCGAATGTGAAAATGTCTTCTGATGTGACTACTTTATAAAGCTCAGCTTCAGTTTTAATTCAGAAGAAGACATGGCCTAAATGTCAGACAAACAGTATGCAACAATAAAATGATCTTTATTTTACCTCAATCAGGTGATGTAATATATAAAATCACAAATTGCATTGTCAGGATTTTATTTTACTAACTCATAGCTACTGTATAATAATACTCTATTTTAGAAATGTTAAGAAAGCATTGGTATTTTTAAAAAGCTGGAAAATAAGAGCAATAAACTGAAATAAATTGGAGAGGATATTAATTTTAAGAAAAACGGGACTCGTCTTTTTCTTAAAGAACAAATAAGACTCATAAGAAATTGAAAGAAATCTTTTGAAAAACAAGAAGATAAGAAACAATGAAGTAAAATCTTTCATTTTAATAATAAACAATGACCTTAATTGAATAAAATCTAAAAATCCACTAAAGATAACTATCCACTGGTTTGAATTTGAACTTAAATAAGAACTATACGATTTTAGCTGAATTATGATGTATAATTATATAATACTAGGACTTCTTCAAATCTCTGAATTTGTTAGTTTATAGCTTCAGAAGGTACTCATAAAAAGCTTTCTAAGAATGATTAAAGATTTTTTTTTTAGTCTGAACCGTAGAGTAGGTTACAACATGTTCTTTAATGTTGACTTTTTAAATGTCAGAATAAATGTAATACCCGTGTAAGCCACAGGGTGGGAGTGAAAGGTAAGAACTTGTGTTGAAGTAGCTTAAATACATAATTGCACTATATTATAAACCTTTAAAATGTCTGTTAAATGCTAAGCAGCTCTACAGCTTTGTTTTTCTTCTTCCTCTAATACAGCTGCATTCCTCAGCAAAGAATCAATAACAAAATACAGACATTGACTTAAATGTATAGTCCACTATTAGTGAATATCATAAGAAGTAAACACACACAGATTTTTTTCCCCTGAAGTGTCTGGTCATATCAGGTGCCTGGTGATCACAGTAGCAATTTTGACCAATATTTGAATTTGGGAATTTTTTTTTAATTACCAGTACTGAAAATAGTAATTGAAAATATTATCAGAAATATTTCATGTCTTCATGATGTTTTTCTACCTACATTTTCCTCTTTCCTGGTTTTTCCCATTTAAAAGTAAATTCTATTGAACATTTTATTTATATATATACACATTTATATATAAAACACATACACACAAAACCCATCGTGGTTGAGTCAGTTCCAACTCATAGCATTTATACATAGAAGTTATATATATATAACTTGCTCAACTTTTTCAGTAAGATAAATTCCCATTGTGTTTTCTGTTAACCCATTCTCATTTGAGTTTGGAAGCACTTTAAAGTCATAATCATTTTTTGTCTTTAAGGTAAGAAGACAAGAGGTTTCTTCTCCTAGAAAAGAAAATTCACCGAAGAGCCTTGGCACTCCTTTATTCCATGAAAGGTAATTCTATATTCTTTTTTGCCAACTCTAAAAATTACAAATTAAAAACAACAAACCCATTGCTGTCAAGTCAGTTCTGACTGGTAGCGACCCTATAGAGAAATATATTTTATATTTATGCATTTAAAATATTCTAGTAATTGTAAGAAAATCACAGCCTTTTTTAAGAACTGTAAAAGACCAACAAAACGAAAAACTTGAGGCTCCTACATGTTAAAGTGAGCTAATTATGTCATATAGTTAATAGCAGAGCTGGATCTAAAAACTGAATTCTCCAAAGCTCTACTATTTCAGTAGACCACGTATTACGAGCACATTGTTTTATATGGACCCTAATGTGAACCTTATCAAAATGAGGAATAATATTTAATTTTTCTGTTTGTTTTCAGAGAACAAAAGTCAATACATTAAAATTTCTAATGTAGGTCAGACTAAGAGCCAGTGTGTGATATACGAATAAGCAGATGTAGTAGTCTGTACTATGTTTATATATTAGAACTTTTAATTTTTCTCTTACTTTGTATATTGCTTTCCAAACATTGGAGTTGTTCGGGGAGCATTTTCTAGGAATTTAAAATAATGTTGTAACTTTAACCTTTCAGTAATTATTTTGTGGTAAATAAAAAGTTGCTGTATGACTTTAATTATAAAAAATACATGAAGATGCAGTCTTAGCTTGTTTTTTTTTTTTAAATAGGGATTATATAGAGAGGACATTCTGGGATCTGAAAGAAGAATTTCATAGAATATGCATGCTAGCAAAAGCACAAAAAGAGCACTTAAGCAAACTTAAGGTACCAGACACTGCGAATGGTAAGGTTTGATTTAACTTACAGTAATATTAATTTTATTGGTATGTACTTGAGATTGATTTCTTTTTGAATGTTAAAGTATTTCTAAGTGCAAAGAAGCTGCAGCCTACCCCCTCTTCCTTATATTTGAATGGGTGAGTGCTGTTTAATACATTACATTATATAATTATTGACTTTTTTTCTCTTTCTGTATTGTGTGTGGTACTGTACAGATCGAATTGATTGACATAATTACTGATCATCTTGATGAGAAGTCCCACCTTGAAAAAGTATAAAATATAGCATATATCTCTCAACAAAAGTTTTCAGTCGCTAATTGGGGGTTTTATTAAATATTAAATCATGTGTTAGTAAGCAGCCATGAAGCCCCACTACCATCTATGAGCTAAGTAAAATTACAACATCAGTGCTGTTTTTAACTTCTGCCTAAAAGTTAGTTAAATGCTATGGATAGATTTTTATAATTTGCTTCAAGAAATAAACACATTTCCTGAGCGTGAGTTCTATTGAAGGCACAAAATAAAAGTTTAGTATAAAATGAAGCTTAAATGGATCATCTGTCTTACACATTTGTTACACTGTTTTTTTTAAAAACTCCTCCCTTCCCTAAAACCCCAGACTAGCTTCTAGGTATTTGCTTCAGTAGTTTGATACGAATAACAAAATACCAGGAATTAAGTCTGGCCACCAAAAAATTCAGTAAACAGAAAGTAAACTGATCACTTATGATAAATTCTCCTTTACCCTTATGATTTGAGCTATTCTGTATACAATTCCCAAGAGATGTGATTTACAGTTTTCACTCTGAGAGATGTTTCAGCAGGGCTGACTAGCACCCCTGTAATTAAAGATCACTTCCCATTTCTTATGGGTCTTATATCTAGGCTGTTTAAAAAAATCATTTCATAATTTAAATTCACTTTTTGCTCACTACTAATACTATTTTATTTTCAGCAGAGGTACACAATGTGATATTGTAGAAATAAAATGGGTTTTGTAGACAGACATACTTTATTTCTTCCTCTTCTTTCTTCTCACCTTCCCAAAAAGAACTCTAATTTCTCCACCTTAATCTTTGTCATATTTTCATAATAATTGGTCTTTTGTACAAACTAAAGATACTAGATACTTCTGAGGTAAAAGAATTATTGTTATTTAAAATATACTAGCCATAGAGATGTAGTACCTAGAATTCATAAATATGCTTTCTCACATCAACATCTTATCAAAACATTGTAATGGTGATATAGTCTTTGTTACACAGAGAACTTATCCCATTATCAATGGCTTAATACTTTGACCATTTTTAAATTACACAGGTCTGAATCTGAGTATGTATCTGTCAACTAGAACACTGGGTGTTTAACTTCAATTTTTTCCCCACTAAAACTGCTTACTAATGCTATTCTTATGTTTTATATTAACTGTATCATAAATAATATTTATGATAGTCTTGAAATGTTTTAAATCTGTTGTGCTACAGACTCCAGTGAATTTTTGGTGGGTCCAAACAGAAACCAAAATATCAAATACGATGCTTCTAGCAGTAGTAGATTAAAAGGGGAAAGAAAGAAATATAAATACTTAGAAAAAAAGATGCCTATTCAGGGTTTCTAAGTATGACTACAACATTGAATAAAAATAGAGGAGCTATTTCAAATATGATTTGAATTTGAATATTTCTAGAAGTATATTTAGCATTTATTATCCCTATAATTTATTAAAAATATTTTCATGTCATTTTTATTTTTGAAATTTGATTTAAATAGCCAGATACAGCTCATGAAAAATTACTGAGTTGGTAGAATTGTACATTTTCTTTTTATTACTGTCTTTCTTGTACTCATCCACATATGACAATAGCCTTGAGAAGAAATAAAGATAAAATGTATTTTTTTAAAAAGTGGTATTTGGTCCATAGAGGAGGATCCTATTTGAATGGAGATTAGGAGAGACGAATATAGGATTAGGGATTACAAACAACCATCAGGTATTTTTCTTTTGTCAATATACAAGATAATAAAACTGAGAAGTAATCTGAATGAACAGCCTGTACTTAAATTTTGAAAATCTAAAAATATTTCTCATTTAATTTTTTTCTCACAAAAATAAGTATTCTTGAAATAGACAAAACAGAAAAGTAATTTGCTCACATGATTATGTCTCTCAATAGGGTGTCAGGATGATGAGTGCTTTCATATTCCTGTTTAAGTTTTCTAAGCTTGGATTTCTAGTGGCCCTAGGAATCTTAGGTTTACTTTTTTTTTTTTTAAATAAAAATTCTCACTGCTTGGGTAAATTAACTCAGAAGATTATTTAAATATAGCTAAGGTTGTATGCCAGCTAGCTATGCTGAGAGAAAACTTCTGCTTTGTTTTCTCCATGTTTTGTTCACAAAGGGAGTAGGTCAGTTACTTCAGTTACTGGAAAAGTAATCCAAATCACCTTTCTGTCAATTTCGGGACTCCTGTCTGTATATACTGAAACTAGCAACCAGCCTTTCAAATTAGTATAATGTTTCAGAGCACAGGCTCTAGAGTTAGACTGCCTGGGTTCTAGTGCCAGATCTACCACTCACTATCTGTGTGGCCTTGGAATTAATCTCTCAATGTCCCTGTTCCTTCATATGTAAAATGAGGATAATAATAGCACGGTGTAAACGGTTAACACTGTCAGCTTCTAACTGAAAAGTTGGAGGTGTGAATCCACGCAGAGGCACCTCGGAAGAAAGGCCTGGCGATCTACTTTTGAAAAATCAGCCATTAAAAACCCTGTTTGGCACAGTTCTACTCTGGCACACATGGGCCCACCATGAGTCAGAGTCAACTCGATGGCAACTGGTTACTGGTTACCTACGGATTATTTTGAGTATGAAATGAATTAATGCATGTATAATGCTTATGAATCGGAATCAACTTGATGCCAGCAGGTTTTTGATAATGCTTATAACAGTGCATGGTACATAGAAATGCTAATAAATGTTAATGGTTGCTGATGTCAGCAGCAGCAGCAGATTCTTCAGCATTCTCCTCGTTTTCTTGTGAAGATAATTTTGATAATTCTTTCCTCATTCTCAGGCATTAACAGGAGTTGGTTACCTCAACAGTTGGTTTTCCTGATTTGTTACCCACAATTAGCAAATGTTATCTACAAAGATAGTGCTGTTTCCTACAACTTCCTGCCACTCTCAAATCTACTGCAACAAAAAATGACTGAGAGTTAATGAACTTTAAGAACCTCAGAGTTCAAAGAAATCTAGCTAAACAATTGAGCTTGGGCTAGATTGCTGGACCCTCCTTGTCATCAAGCATGGATAGAGTTATCTAGTAAATGTAGAGTAATATCCTAGGTAGGCTTTGTGAGGAAGAGAATACAGATTGATTCAGAATACATTTATTGATGGTATACTGTTTGCCAGGCACTTGGCAAGATACAGGGGGTAAGTGGGGAACAAACCATAGTTTAGGGCATCAAGAAACCTCCTTTAATGGGAGAAATAGAAATATACTTGTAAGTACAATATAGAGTATTTAGTCCTTCAGGGCACTTAAGAGTCATGCCTAAACCAGTCTTGGGGAGTCAGGGAGAGCCATCCAAAGAAATCCATGTCTAAGCCAAGATATGAAGAACAAGTAAAAAATTAGGCAAAGAGTAGCGGGAGGGAACACTTCAAGCAGTCTGGACAGCACACGTAAAGGCCCAGAGACAAGAGAACATGACTTCTTTAAAAAACTGCGCAAAGTTCATTATGGCAGAGTTCATTAAGCCAAATGCTTAATCACTGCGCCACCAGAGCTCCTTGGAGAAAAAAAAGAAGGTATAGTGAAAGGTGAGCATGGAGCGCTGACCAGGGCCAATTACGGACAGTCTTATGTGACTTTTCTGAGGGCTCAGGGCCTTGGAGAGCCATGAAAAGGTTTTATTAGGAAGGTAACATGACCACATTTGCACTATAGAAAAGCTACTCTGGGAAGAGGAGAAAAGCTGCAATGTAAAGAATGGATCGGATAAGAGAGAAATTTAGAGACAAGGAAGTAGTTCCAAGGCTATTGTAATAAGAAGCAGTAGTATATTAACAGGGTAAATAAATCAAAGAAGTTGTTTATATTGTACTATATATATCCAGATAGAAAGTATTTTGCACTGGAATGTGCTGTGACAAAAAATAGAGAGGTGACATGAGGCTGCCAAGACCAAAAGAAAAGGGAAAATAGCTGACATTTGTTAAGTGTCTTGATGGCAACTGGTTACTGGTTGATTAAGTGCCTGCTAACCTGGACAGACACTTAGCAAGGTACCTTGTGTAGCCTGTCTACTTAAACTTACATCATTGCTGAAGTCTTCATTTGTGAATTGAATACACCTTCACTAATTTTAACCTTTTTAAAAGTGTGAACGTTTTTTGTTGTTTTTTTTAAACCATTTATCCATTTAAAATCTTTTGCAAACACACACATTACCAGCCTCACTGCCTTCTTGAACTGACATTATAGAGCATAATTTAGCTTTTAGTTTTTTCTAATGTCTCAGGGTCATCAACATGGAGTGCTTTCATAGGTTTTTTTTCTTTGTTTTTTTTTTTAATTATTGAGAAATGTAGGCCTTGTTGGCGCTACACTAGACTGCAGTGTTTTCTGCAATCTTACATCTGCTTTTTTTGTTTTTCTTGTCTCCTCCATGCTTTCAGCTCTTGTTGATATCTATGTCTGCCTTTAGCAACTCACATACCCTTTTAATTTGATGCTTCTCACCAGCTAGGGAAACATCAAACTGATTAGAATAAACCTAAAATGAGAATGGGAGTAAAATGCATACACCCATGGGCCTTGTGGGTCTAATTCTGGCTTCTCGGAAGCTCTGTTGACCTAGTTTCTGTCTTTTGCGTATGTCCTGGTGAGTTGAATTTGTTGGATAAGTGACTTGTAGATAATTGAGTTACAGAGGCCTTGTTATCTACAGAGGCTGTAGTATCTACCCCTAGGTTAAAGTGAAGGCCTTTTTTTTGTAGATGAGGAAATCATATATTCACATACAATTTTATTAACATGCATCCTGAGGTTTTATCCTTCTTTTGCCTCTACCTTTCTTCTTTTTCCTAACCCTCACCACCACCGCTCCATCACATGGATTACTGAGATTAGACCATAGCTAAATTGATTAGTAATATAGTACTTAGTTACATAATAATATTGGGATATAAACGACCTAATTTGTAGAGATACTTTACCTGTGTGTATGTGTGTACGTATATATATGCCTAGTAAGGATTTTCCTTCATAACAACTTATTTGTCAAAGTAAGTTCACAGTTTCAGCTTCCATTACTGACAAAGTGTTTAAATGTATACACTATAAGCAAATGTTTTTTAAGTGTGGAGCAGGATAACTGTGAACAAGATGCAAAGCTTACAGCACAAAATCTAGGGAAAGATTAAAGTAGTTAAACTGCGACTAATAAACTACGTTCCCATTCATCTGCTGGATTCTTCTAATATTCCTGTGTAACACGGTAGCAAATGTAAAAATCCCAGTTGTCTTCCGTTCCCATAAAGCCAATAGAAAAATAATACTTGTCTGTCCCAAGCTGATTGAACAGATTTTTAAGAATGATTTGAATGCGACTGTTTCCCTTTTGTGTTCTTTTCCCCTGCAGAAACACAGTGCTCTGTGCCTGTACAGTGTACGGATAAAACAGATAAACAAGAAGCGCTGTTTCAGCCTCAGGCTAAAGATGATATAAATAGAGATGCACCATGCATCACATCTGTCACACCAAGAGGACTGGGCCGAGATGAGGAAGACACCTCTTTTGAATCACTTTCTAAATTCAATGTCAAGTTTCCACCTATGGACAATGACTCTACTTTCTTACATAGCACTCCAGAGAGACCCAAAGCCCTTGGTCCTGTCACATCTGAGACCGTGTGCCAGGACAAATTTAATATGGAGCTCAGAAACAACCCAGGAAACTTCATTAAAACCGAAGAAACTTTTTTTGAAAATCAGGGAATTGACCCCATAGCTTCAGCTATACACAACCTTAAAACAACTGACAAAACAAAACCTTCAAATCTTGTAAACACTCTGGATAATGCTCCGTGTTTGCCACCTGGAGAACATAATGCACTATATGTAAAAACGTTCCCACTTCAGGACCTGTCTGATGCACCTTTCCCCTCCTTCGATTCCTCAGGAAGAGCTATCCGAGGACCACAGCAGGTAACTGTTTTGCATTAACAAATATATTATGTGTGAACACACATTTTGCCGTATATGCACAGATAGGTATCTCTTTTAGGTTATCGACATTCTTCTTAGATTAATGACTAGCCAAAGTTAAAGTTTTCAATAAAAAATGAAATCCTATAATAAATGACATGATTATAAAATGTGAATATGCTAAAGCCCTATAATAAATTACATTAAAATCTATGGCACATTTTAAAATACATGTAAACCTTATTCATATCTAGTGTGATGTCACTTTCTTAGTCCTTATTCAAAGGTTGTTTACTCAATATCAGTGTTATCACAGGATTCTTTATTAAATTTTAAACTGTGAAACAAATGGTATTTTTTTAATTAAAATGTTTGTATGTATCATACTCATCTTTACAAGAATGAATAATTTTCCAGTCATTGCATTGTATATTCCTGTTTATCAAAGTAAGTGAACTATCTCTGAACAAATGTCATATTCTCAGTTACACAGTATATAGACCTCTGTAGGGTTTTGTTTTAGTTTTGGTTTCTAGTCTAGCACTGGACATGCAGCCTAATATATTTTTTAAAATAATTTCTGCATACGTATGATTTCAATCTAATACTTTCATTTTTTTTAAGTTCACATTACTATTTACAACCCCCATCTCAGTTCTACCCTTCTTTTTAGACTTAGGTTCTATCACAGAATGGTGCCATTCGTTTTAATAAAAATTATTCCCTAAAGGCAATGCATATATGTTAATTGTTACAATAATAATAAAAATAAACCATGAAAATATATGTTGATGTAAATGTCTATATAACTTGCATTTGTTTATCTTCTCTGCCTTGAAATATTTAACTGAAAAAAAAAAACTTGATGAATACATTTTAGTTTTATAACTATTATAGATTGTAGACTTTTAAATCATACAAAGGAGGCTGCAGTCATGCTGTGGTATATTTTAGTAGAAGGAAAAACTAGGCAATATCTGACAATAATTCTTAATTATAAGCTCACTTATGTTCCACAGTTAACCTTATTTCTCATCATAGTCTCAGCTATAGTTGCTACTAAATGAAACAAATTAAACAATTTCATTTATTGTCGGTAGAATTCCTGTGGAGCTGTGAAGTACATCAGTTCTAATACTTGTTACTTTTTTCTCCATTATATCTCTTGCTTGTTCTTTTACTAGTTAGTCTGTGCATTCATGTTTCAGTAGATGGCACCCTGCATTGTGCATTTGCTTTCTATACTACAGCAAGAGAAACAGCTGGTATGTGATTACAACTTGATGGAGAAGTATGCAGCTTAAAAAATGCAGGAGAATTGGTGTTGAGCTGTCACAAGACATGGGGCATAAGGTTAGATAATTGATATTTTGGCAGAAAAAGCAAGAAATTAGTTTGTTTTGAAGGCCATGTTACAATGTGGGATTGAAAGAATATTTCTAAAATGGATTTTTAAAAATATATGTATTATTTTATTTGTAATAATAAAGTTAGTATGAGAAATCCAAAATTCTTGACTTGTTGATAGAGAGTAGCAAAGAGAAGTGAAATTTTAGTTACATATTTCAGATTTTGACGCTATATCAGTCATTACTACTTAATACCTTTTTACACATTCAGATACCGTAACAAAGTCTAAAATATATCTGCTTATTTTTGCTCTATGTGATTTTCATTTCTTTCTTACTTTTGCTGAGTCAGTGATTGGGGTCCCAACTGAATTCTATGAAGAAATACAATCTGAACTAATAGCTCCCAATGGAATAGGATAAATATGGACTTTGAAGGTAAACTGGCAGTGGAAGATTGGCTTACCAAATTTAGAAGCTAAATTGTTTCCAAGTCCATTTCTTACTATTTTGTAGATCTCAGTAAGAGTTATCTTTAAAGTAATAATCTCTTATTTATATCCATACCAACTTCCCATTAGGATGGTACATATTAATCAATTATACTTTTTGTTTAAACTGCAAACAGTAAAATTTGAATCTAGTTAACTCTAACTAGATTTTTGCTTACCTGCTCACAAGTATTACTACTTTTCTTTTATCATGGAAGAAAATTTTTTCCTGAAGAAAATTATTTTACCTCCAAGTTTCATAACATTTATTTTAAATATTACTATTTTTTGTGATAAAATTGCCAGATTCTCACAAAAGGAATTGAGTCAGTGTTATTATAAACCCTTCTGTACTGATATTTGAATGAATCTTGGTGCCTAGACAGACTTTGTATATTTACACCAACTGTACACAGCTGTCCAGTAATGTTTATAAGAAGACAGTGATGTGCAATTCAAATGTTTCAATTAGTAATACTACTGTTTATGTAAATGATTGGTTAACTAGATGGAAGGAAGTTAAGAGGATGAAAACAAACACTGTATCAGGTGCCGGACCTGGCCGTGTTACTGTAAAAACATATTAGTGATAGGAGCCTACAAGGGTCTCTTCATGCTTCTCAAAATTGACTTTAGGAGGTGATTCTTCTCAAAATATCAGAGTTTAGAATTTTTTATTTTGGCTCTTGCATCAAGCTAATAAAGCAAATTTTAAAAATAATTTGGTTTACACAATCCAGGAAAATAACATATTACAGTCAACAAACATTTATTGAGCACCTACTATTAATATTAAACTAAATGCTATTTCTTGCTCTTCTACCTATTTAAAAAAAAAAAAAAAGATAAATGCAGTTGTTTAAAGTGTGAATATGTGCTGATTATAGTGGAATAGAAGTGGTTCTGTTGAATTACAATTTTCCAAAATTCTTTAATTGAGCTATTGTTGGCAGGTTTCACTTTATTCTGGCACAAAGAAGGGTAAGAAGGCCAAACTATGCACAGCATAACAGGAGCAAAATAAGAAGTCAGAAGTGTACATCTGATGTTAGATTCCGTTGAATGATTAATTTAAATATTTGACATTTCAAAACACAATAAATAATTGAATAGTGAACTTTGTTTACTAGCTTAAAAGAAAAATATTTTCTTTTCAAAAATCAAAAAACACTGGTTGATATGATTTATTCATTGCATATTTGCTTATAAATAGCAGTGAAATTTAAATTCCTTTTGATTAAATGCCTGCACACAAATCATACCTAGTGTACCATGGACTAATAAAGACCCTATAACTTAAATTTTCTATTGTAAAATAGAAAAGATAGAATTTAATAAAAAAATCTAAAATATTGACCATGGTTCCAAAACTACTGCTGTTACGATAATGGGTATTAAACATTGCTAGTGCTAAAGCTGGCATATTTTTAAATATGTGAAGATAAAATGAAGGAACTTGTATCCCAAATGGTTTTTAATCAAAATTTTGTTGTGTCCTTTATGTAAAAGAGAATTGAGTCCTGCCCGCATGTTAACGTTAATGTAAATGTGATTTGCTTTCGTATTAGGAAATTTCAACACTTGGTTGTTATTATTAAGGAATTTCAAATACATGCACATAACTCATTCAAAATGCAAGTTGATCTTAAACACAAGTAACGGAAGGTATTTTTGTTTATTTGTTTCCTGCAGCCTGTTTGGAAGCCCTATCCTAACCAAGACAGTGACTTATTGGTACTAAGTGGTACAGACTCAGAACTGCATATACCTCGAGTATGTGAATTCTGTCAAGCAGTTTTCCCACCATCCATTACATCCAGGGGGGATTTCCTCCGGCATCTTAATTCACACTTTAATGGGAAGACTTAAGACACATTTGGAAAACAGACATATCAAGTTCTATGCAATGATTTTGGGTTTGTAATACTATAAATGCTTGATTGTAAACTTCGTTCAGGAACAGTTTATAGAAAAATTCAGTGCTACAGCTATTTGAATTTTTTTCTAAACTTAAATTTTGTAACTTCCTCTTACTATCTTTTAAAAGATCATTCTGTTTCAAATCTGTAATTCATTGTATTCATGTTTACATTGTTACTGTCATAATTCAAAATTATGTATGTGACTTTATAAAGTTATATAATCATAATTCAAGTTTGTTTCAAATATCTAAGCTTATTGCTTGGATTTCTAGTTAGATCAGTTAAATTTGGTAATGTTAAATGTTTATGGGTTTTTTTTTAAATTTGTTTTCATTTTTTAAATATAGATTATTTATGATATAGGTGATGTTCTTTTTTAATAAACCTATAACAAAGAATAGTAGACAACATAAACATCTACGTAAATGCCAAACCTAAGACATTTGTTGGCCAATGATAAAATCACTGGTAAAATTAAATAGATTTTTTAAATAATATACATGGTTTAATTTTTACCTTGTGTATAGCTACATGATAAAAATGAGTTAAGTATTAAAAGGGTTACTTATGCTGTGATCACTAATGTGTTCTTTGTTTCTGAGTAAAAAGAAAATAAAGGAAGTGAATCACCTTTTGGGAGAGTTCTTAAAAGTCATGTTTTCTTTCCAGTAACCAGATGGAAGGGTAATGACCAGATCAGTGACCTTTTATTACAATTGGGTCACTTTGAATTTTAAAATTCTTCTTCAAACTAAACTTACTAAAGAAACATGTTTGTATTTAACGGGAGCAAATCTAAAAAACCCTGTATGGACGATCCTTATGTAGCAATTTAGATTAGAAATGTTCCTATTCTTGTTGAGAAATTTGTTATCCATTGTTAGCAGCTTGACCGATGGCCACTGGAAGACATTTGAGAGAGACGATACCAAATTCAGAAGGATGCAGAATTTTGTTTTTAACATTTTAAAATGAAATTCCCTTTTTTTTCCTTCCCTACGATTTTTGCCTTTTGGGTTTTTTCCCCCAGACTTTTAAAAATGCTTCCATTTTATGAAGTAAACACAGATTTGCAACTCTGAAACAGAAATTTAAGCCATCTTGAAGCAAGTGTTTTAAGCCGAGGCTTTGGGTTGGGGGAATTCAGGCAGGCTCCTGTGCCACAGTGAAGAGCCTTAACGTGTGGAGGAATGAGAGTGGTGCCTCAACCTCTCAGGGTGCCAAGCACATCACACTGACATCTTCCTCACCAAGGTGACATAGCGATCATTAGGTATTCACTGTGACGGGTTCTGAAGCATGTACATCTTTCTTTCACTGCCACTGGGGCTGAATGGAAATGCCTAGACAATTATCCAAGCCTCTTCCCTTCCCCCTACCTCCCGCCCACCCAGCCTCCCCTCTCACCTACCCCTCCCACACACACATACAAAATTAAAAATAAAAACTTTCCAGCATGTACCAGCCAGAATATACCACTGTACCTGTCTTGTGAACGGGGATTCTTTTTCCCTCTTCTAGAAGGGGAGAGTCCCTCTCACACAGTTGACACCTACTAGCCTGCTGACAACCAAAGGAAACTCTATAGCCAAGAAGGTGATTCAAACTGTCACTGACCCGTCTCCTCAGTCCAACCCTTTCCCACCTCCATCACTTTCAGTAAGAGCGGGTGATGCTGTTTTCTTTTCGGTTCCAGCTCAATCTTAAGCCTCATCTTCCGAGGGACAGAGGCCCTCTTGGACCACAAAGAGGGGCTTGGAGAGCGGGCTCCTGTCCCTGCCTGTTGAGGTGGCGCTGGCCGCAGCTAGAAAGGTGGAGCGGGCACCCGCCAGGTCTCCCTATCTCCTGTTACAGAGTGTGTAGGGGCTGCATCTTGGCATCTGCTACGCGTGGCCGGGTTAAGAACAGCTCCCAGATAAAAAAGCTGCACGCGCGAAACGCTGAGTCTGAAAAAACCACCCCCGCCGAGGCGAGGCAGTTGTGAGCGGGATGCCTGAGAAGTGGGAGGTGAATGTCCTCAGGAGGGCCCCCCCGGTGCAGCTTTCCCCGGAGGCTGAGGCTGCTGCCAGCGGGGACATCTGCTTTCTTACACTCCAGCCTGGCTCACCCCGCCCCCTCAGCCCCGGGTTGCGTGGTTATTTTACCAACATGGGGGGAGGGAGAGCTCGAGGAGGTAGAAAAGGGGTGGATGGAAGCTCAAGAGATTTTCTTCCCACTCCCTCACGTCCCCTCCTTTTTTCTTTACATCTTTTAACCTTCAAGGTAAAGACTTCATAAATATGAAACAATAAGTGTGTCCGCTGGCTCCCAGGCCCTCCTTTTCCGCTCGCCGGGGCTGCCCGGTGCCGGGCCTTGCCCTTCTCTCCATCCTCCCCCGAGCCAGGCAGGGTTTTGGTGGTTTTGCAGGGTGCAGGGGCCGGCCGGGTGCGCTCAGGCTGTAGCGCTTTCTCTCCCGGGCTGCTGCCTCGACAGCTGCTTGTAGCTACAGTAATTAGACTGTCAGTGCTTGTTAGAGGAGAGAGGGGAAAACACGCTTCTGACAGCAGATTCCGAGACTACCCAGTTTGTTAATTTCTAAGAGATCTTTAAAGCATTAATTGAGGTCTCCCCAACTCTCCCCTCCCGTCCCTCTCCCCAACTCCTCCTTTCCCAAAAATATCTTCAGGAGAAGAGAATCTCTCCGCGTAGAAGCAGTGTTTCCTGCAAAACTGCAAGATTCCCACCCCCCAACCCGCACCTACAACCTATCTTACATATCCATATATATGCACACATGTACATGCGTAAGGTTAACTCGGCGGAGGCCTCATTCGTTCAAATAGGAGCCAGGATTACATTTTAAAATAATAATAAATAAATAAATAGGAAGAAAAGGGGGGAGGGAAGCAGAAGTCGGGAAGAAAAGAGAAAAGCAGCAGGCTGATTACGAGGTGTCAAAACTGCCAGGAGCAAGAAGGTGATAGCAATCAGGGGTGAGAAGAGTGCGGCATTCGTGCGGGGCAACTAATTATCCGTCTCATTTGAGAAGAGCAGCATTTGAGGCAGCAGCGTTCGCCTGCTGAACGGTGACAGATTGGCGCGGAGGAGAGGGGAGGTGTTAAAACAATGGAGCCGGGCGCGCGAGCGCTGCTGCATGCTAATCAGCCCTCCCTCCGCCTGCCTGCCGCGCTCCCTCCTTCCTCCCAGCCTCCCTCCTCCGCGCTCCCTCCTCCCGCCTCCTTTCCAGCGGGCCTGCCGCCGTCGCCAACCGCTTCCTGTTCCCTCGCTTTCCCGCGCGTCCTTCCCGCCGCTGGCAAGTGGAACCCAGCCACCGCCACCACGTCCCTCGCGGCCCGGAGGCCGACGCGCGGCACCCCGCGGGCACCTCCGCTCGCCTGGCTGCACGCTCGCCGCCGCGGTGCGCAGCCTGGCGCTGCCCGCGCCCAAAGGCCTGGCCCTGCGCGAGCGCCCACTCCCTGGAGGCCTCTTAGGGAGTGGGGTCAAGGCCTGCGTTCTCGACTCTGCTTCCTGGAGCAGAGGCCGAGGAGGCTGTATTTTCGCTCCCCTCACTGTCTGTTGTGACTTGAATGCATTGGGCAGCGAGTGGGAACCGAAGCGAATTCGGGGAAGGGCGAGGGACAGCCAGAGGAGGGAAGAAAAGTCGGGGTCATGAAGGCAAGGCAGGCCCCAGGACGGACTGCAGATCTCCCGACCCGGCGCTAGCGTGGCCGCCATCCCAAAGGCCTCCCTAGCTCTTCCAGGATCAGCCGTGAGTGGGCGAGTCAGCCCCCAGAAAGTCTCCGGCATTGCGCCCCGCCCCAGCACCCTTTCTCCCCACCAGGCCAGAACTCTTAAGTTCAAGATTTAATAAGCCCAGAGAAGACAAAGGGCCTTCGCACTACTTGAGTTGTGGTTTCAAGGCTTGACCTCCTGACCCTAAGTCTAGACTACGGGACTGTCTGGAC